ACTTACCTCTAAAAGTTCAGTACTTTCTTCCCTTTCCCTTTGTGCTTTTCCTTTCTCAGATACAACCTCCTTAACTCCTCGTAAAGGTGAGGCCATAATATTTCCTGCCCTCATCCAAGCTCCATATTGTACCTCTCGCTGACCACACCCGTCCCCTCCTGACACAGAACAAGCTCTGTCATTGTGACCTATAACTCCACAGTTGTAGCAAAAATCCGGTCAACGTTCATACCTAAATTCCACCCATTCAGCTTGTTCTTTGCATTTTATTTTTGTGCCTCTGATCAGTGGTTGTGTTACATCTACTTCTGCCATAATTTTCATGTGCCTTCCACCTTTCCCCCAACCTCTGGAATTATCACCTCTCTTATAGACTTAAAAATCTGACCTAGTTTAAAGCCCACCGCTCTACTCAACCAGTGAACAGGTAGATTCCATAGCTGCACCCAAAGGAATACATACCGGAAAAAATTACTATCCCTTTCCCAACCAACCTCCCATTCTCTAAGCACAAATACCTGGTTATCCATTATCCAAGGGCCCCCTGTCAGCGCCTTTTTCTTTTCGACCTCATCTTCAAAGTGGAACTGGAAACAGTTTGGACCCAGCTCTGTTATCTTCAACCTCCTTGGATTGCCCCACGCATGATTTATGTAGTTCTTGACTCCAGTGAAATTGGCCACTTTATCACCCACAAGCTTTCCAAGTAGACTTCCTTTGCAGCCCAACATTCCTTCTTCAATGTCATCTCCGCTGAGATCTATCTCCTCTGTTTCCTTGGCCGACAGTTCAAACCTTTGGAAGGCCTTTGCAAGGGATTCTGCCATCTTCCCGTACAGATCCAAGTAGAAACCAGCACTATTTCTAGGAGACGAAGGAGCTCAGTTGGTAAACCTGACTATTCGGGTCAGGACCCGAGGACTAGCCGGGTCAAACTCGGCTGCAACGAAGTGGAAGAAAATGTGCTCCGGACAAGACGCGTGGCGAAGAACCGGATGAACAGCGGCCATGGAGCCCCGAAGGTACTCCAAGTCCAGAGTCATCGCTACATGAACTAAAGACGGATTGCAAAACGTCAGCGTTTCGTCACTAGTCACAGGACACTCCACGCCGTTCCGGTACTCCGGTGCTTCAGTGAACCCAAACTCCGTTTCAGTAGGCCAACCGCCATTATTGGGAAAAGAACGAATAGCAGAAGACATCTTTAACGGCGTGTGAAAAATCATCAAGAAAACAAGCAAAACTGAAACTGAACGAACCCATGAGTTGAAGTGAAAAGGCAAAAGAACCATATTTTCTTGGTGGGTTTTTTCTGGATTCTTCTTAGTTTTCGGAGACATCAACAGAAAAGAGTGAACGAGATTTGCTATTAATGCAAAGGCATTGTACTACAAGCCGAGGAGAAAAGGAAACTGTGGTTCTTTTCTTTCCTTGTCTTCTCTAGAAGTTTTAGAGAGGAAACAAAACGTTTGTTCACCTTTTATTGTTGTTTTTCCTTTTTTGGATTTTAATGATAGTATAAGTTCTAATTAATTGAGGTTCTGTTTAATTGATAGGTGAGAATACCTTAAACTAGGTGACTTGGTTGAGCAGATATTGTGCACATCCATATTTGGAACTCCATAGCATGTCAGCTTCCTTATTTGGCTATCTAGATAGACTATTTTGTAGTGTGAAAATGTCATCTTCTTTTGATGGGCTTTTGAATAACGAATCATTAGTTTCTTTTCATTGATTAATTTTACAGATTGATTACACTTTTGTTGTTAGAGTAAGTTTTACTTGGTAATAAATTTGTATATTAGTTTTACTTGGTAATAAATTTGTATATTTCATCTTTAACCTTTTGGGTTCATTTCTTGAACTTCAATATTTATAGGTATAAACTTGTTGAAAAAAGGATGAGAAGCATTGGCAGTGTGAGGAGGGACGTAAAAGAAAAGAAGAAAGGTGTGCGAAAAAGTGCAAGTTGAAATACTGATACTGAAATCATTATGGTCATTACTGTAATGATTAAAATGTTAAGAAAAAGCTAGAGATTGAGTTTCAAGAAAAGACCCTTGGGTTACTTGGCGCTAAGATAGGCATTGGTCATTTAAGTTTCCTATTCTTTGGGAAATTCACTATTATTTGACCATTTCAATATTCTTTTACCATACTAGAGCTACTGTGTTTGGTTGACTGTATCATTGATAGCTATTTAATGTAACTTGTCTTTACTCCTCGCAGCTAAAATGGATTGATGAGGATTTCCTGAGCTATGACTTTGAGTTCAACATTTTGCTGACTTGCAAAATTTGTTAAGAGAATTTTCTTCATTTTCCTTGGAATATGTTTCTGCTGTTCTATGTGCAGGTTATTAGTCAAGATATGGAGGTTAAAGGACCTTATTTAAAACATCTGACACTTCTTTAGGCTTTGTTGTTCTAGGCCCAATCAGATATCTTTATACTTACTGTTATTTGATTGTGTGGCTTGAGTTCAAATTAAGTAAATTATTTGAGAGAATGCTTAATGATTTGTTTGGCTTGTTTTGCTTAGCAATGAGTCAAAGCCCGAAGAGTGGAAGAACTCTTACCGTTTCCCTTGCATTATCATGATTGATAGAATCAAGATTGGAATTATTTCTATGTCTGTCCTGCATGGATCTACAGTGATTATTTATTAGCCTCATTTTTGGATACATATTATTGTAGACATTATGTACCTTTTACATTTTAAATATGAGGTTTTGTTTGTAAAGATAGTGACCAACTTTTGTTTCATTGCATCATATTGTGTATATTGGACCTATTATGTACTTCCTAATTTTGTCCAGTTACGATGGGTTGTATTCTTAATGACACTGAATTGCAATTTTTACTTACCTCTTTAATTCAATAATTCTTTTTACTAATTATATGCCTCCTAATTGTATGGCCTCAAATAATTCAACAACATTTGTCATCCCAACAATTTGCAAGTTAGATGGCCAGGATTGGGTAATTTGCATGCTTTCACCGTTTTCCTGCTACCTTTTTCCGCATAATCAGTAATTAATTTCATATAAATGGCCTGTTATGGCATGAAACTCAAGTGCGCCAAGAATTCCACCTTTCTATTTGTCAACTGGTTATTTCATTCTCCCAACAATAAACTTCGGTTAGGAAACGTTTCCTTTGACTGTGAAGATAGATTGTTGCACGGAGGATCCTTTTTCAGAAATATGAACCCCCTTCATTCTCAGTGTACACCTACTTTGTACCATGTATTGCACTTCCATTCTCCTGACCAGAGTTGTTGCGTTAGTTGTTCCGATTTTCATGTTACATGCAAAGAATTGGATAAACAACATAGAAACGATTGAACAACATCAAAATTAATGCTCGTTGTAAATTTAAAAACACCACCGATAATCAATCCTCCACAGAATAATAGAAAAAATTAATAGTGTTTACTCATTGTTTAATATTTTTGAATCTCCCATTTACTTTTCCCAACACTTCATCCCATCTCTACATGAAGCAAAATCATACTGATGAGTTTCAATTTTATTCGCTTCAATTATTTTCTTTTCGATCTTTTTCTCGACACCATGTTAGATGCAAACCTTTATTTACTCGCATTTTCTTACAACATTGCTTATTTAAAAGCTTAATCATTTTATAACCAAATAACTTAATTGCAATGCATGCGATTTATGATATCTCCACTTGAAAATCTGGACATTTTCTGGGCAACATGAAATTAACACCGCGCAACGCGCGGTGATCCCCTCCTAGTCTGTTTATTATGTGCATATGAGTTGGTGGTGCTAAAAAAAAAAAGACCTTTATTGACATACCTATAATGACACTTGCTTACATATATGTCCTTAAAACATCTCAATCATGACACTTAGTATCAACTCAACAATATATACTCTAATTATTTTTTATTTTATTTTATTTAAAAATAGTGTGTCCTTTAGAATAGGTATGGCCACGGTTCCAGAACCGACGATTCTGGTTCTTCAAAGAGGTAGAACCAGAACTGCACCATATAAGATGGTTCTGGTTCTGATTCCAGAACCGTCGGTTCTGGTTCTTTAAAGAGGTAGAATCAGAACCGCATAGTTCTGATTTCGGTTCCTTATGGTTCTGGTTCTGGTTCCGGTTCCGTATGGTACCCTATAATTTTATTTAATTCTTTATCCTTACCAATATTAATACGAATATAACAATATATTTAAAATTTCAAATAGAATGTACAAAAATAAATACAAAATAAAGATCATATTTCAATTTTATTATTATTCTACAAAGTAAGAAGTAATAAATAGACAATACAAATTTTATGAAAAGTACATTACATTGTCAAATTAAAAAATATATTACACTATCAAATGATTGTCATGTGTTGACTTTCTTGAGTTGGACAATCATCAATGTTGAAGATTTTATTTGAAGAAATATTGCAAAAAATATTTTTTTGCTTGCTTGATTTTGAAGATGAGCTACTACCATCAAAACTTGCCATTTTTTGATAGCAAATAAGCAAAAAAAAAAATTTGTAAGTAATAATTTAACACTTACAAATTATAATGATAGATATTAGACGAATAAAAATAATTAAATAATTAGTAAAATATATAGAAAGTCTATAAAATTTAAACTTTCTTAAAAGCTATTAAACACAACTAATTTTTTTGAATTATCTCACTACTTATATTAATTATTTTTAATGGTTCTCGAACCGGCAGTTCTGATTCTGGTTCTATTTTTAAGAGAACCAGAACCGAAACCTTTATCCAAGGTTTTGCCACAGTTTTGATTCCGATTCTAGTCCGATTTCAAACAATCCGGTTCCGATCCGATTCCCGATTTCAAATGGAACCATGGCCATGCCTACTTTAGAATACCTATTTTGACAATGGACTCTATGTGAGGCATACTGGAGGACGAAACAAAAACAAAAAACGACGTCGTTTCCAATTGGCCCAAGTTTCAGGTGCCTAAAACTTTGCCAATTTCTTTGGCTGCTCTACTATCTCAGTCTCTCGCCTGAAACTTTGCCAATTTCTTTGGCTGCTCCACTATCTCAGTCTCTCCCTTTTCTCTCTTCTCTCTACTCTCATGAGAATTTCACCAATCCCTCTCTTGACATCTCTATCACCACACTCTCTAACTCTCTCTATCTCTCAATCGAACCTCTTTTTTGAGTTTTTTGGTTGAATCACACAGCAGCAATCGGTCTCTTTGCTTGCCCATTTAAGGTTTGTAATTGCATAATTTTTTTGAGTAATTTCATGTTAGAGTTATATAAATTATTCACTACTTACCCACTGAATACACCCACCACTCTTGATTTTTTTTCCATTTTTTTGTGATTATATTGGATAATTTTAGCGATCTTTGAAGCCATTTATGAGTTGTGTCAATAATGGTTCCTATTTTTGGATTTTTAGTTGCTCTATTATGTTGAATAAAGACGGTTAAACTTCAAAATTAGCCCTCAAATTGAAAGAAAAATTATTTGCGCAGCGGAATGAGCAAACAGTTTTGTTTTGTTCTTCTTGCTTTAAGTTGCAATTTGATTCAGGCCTTGATATTTCAAAACAAATAAGTACTTACTTGTTCAGACAAATATGCGATGCCTGATGTAGATGGTTGAATTCCAGCAATAAGCCTTCCACACGTCAGGCCTCTAGTTCGTCCACACAGACTCAAACTAATAGGTAACAGAGTTTTGGAGTTTTGTTTCGGTAGTGAAGAAACAACGATATTGCTTTCTTCCCTTTCCAAAACAATCGTGATTGTTTTTCACCCTAGTAGACCCCCTTAACAACTCTTTGTCAATAAGGCTTATTTATACAGTTGTTTTGATTAGATCAATATCTTATATCATCTTGATCAAATCATAACAACCGATTTATATTTTATTCTTATCTTGATCAAATCAAAAATAGAATACAATTAATACAATTATTTAATTCATGTTTTAGTTTTGATCACATCAAAATATAAACACAATTAATATAATTATATTAACTATTATTTTCATCTTTATAATATTTGAGTCATACTCAAATACCAACTCCAAATTCCGTCTAGCTTGGGTTTCAAGATGTGCTAGCATCCTTATCAAAGTCTAAACCCATTCTAATCAACTTCCCTATTAGTTCAAATCCTTTTGTGTGTGACTATCTAGGTCCATTACCCAGTTGGCAATGTAATAAACGTTAGCCTATTAACGTTAGTTAGAACATTTCTAACACTTGAGAAGTTCTCCAAATATACCTCAAGTTAACATAGTTCATGAGTGATGCCTAGCAGCATATCATGACACCCAACCGGTGATGAAAGATTGGAATCCTTTTATGTGAACCATGACTGCAATTGTTTTGCATAAAAATCCTTCTATTACTATATCCCTATTGAGTTCAGTTTAGTAATAATGTCAAACTCTAAAACTCAATCGTATGACTTAATCTATCAAATTACTTGACTATTAAATTGATTATCTACATGAATCAATTTGTCTTGGCCAAGAACTCCTTTAGTCAAGATTGATGGATTTCATAAGATATCAAACCATTCATGATGAAATAATAGATCCCATTTTGCATAAACACTTGGCTCCATGCATAACTAATTAGAGGTACCATATGCCAATACTCATCCGTGATTAGAACAAGTATTTTCTGCATTGATAGACTTTAACCACCCATGAATGAGCCAACCGTGTCATCTCAGGTCTGAGGATCACATGCACCATTGCAATCAATAATGAATCATTGACATTAATAAGCTAATGATTCATTATTTAAATTAGACAGTGTTCAAGCCAACTTGTCACACAAGTGCCTCTCATATTTGTTCTAGTAGCACATACTTAATGGTATGAGACTCGCCATTCTATTATCATTAATATCTCATATTAATCATAGAAAATAAATATGAGACTAATCTTCCGGATTAAACTTGCCCAATTAATAATCCTATGATTAGGAACAATTTAATATTATTTGTACCAAGCTTTTCCGTCACTCATATTCTCATCACATGAGAATGGAACCTTAACAAGTAATAATGGACAACATTCAATCAAATCTAAACCAAGAATAATTGAATCAAGAAGTGCCATTTTATTTTAATCAAGACAATAATTATTAATGCTCTAGGGCATACTGCTAACACAAATAAGACAGAATGTGGTTAATCTATTTTAACCCTTCAGCAATTGAGTGCCACTTATTCACTTTCATGTTTGCAATACCTGTTCAATTATTGGACTTTATATGAAATTTTGGTTGGCTTTCATTCTTTTTATTGATTGGTATGTTTTTTCGTATTAATCTAGACATGTAAAGAGTAAGCAATTTGGGCTAGTGTTCTTATGGTGGAAGTAGTAAGCGAAGTAGTCACTATTTTTTGGACAAAACTTTGAGGGAGATTTGAAGAATCAGATACAAATCACTTGCAAATTGAAAGGTATGACTTTCCTCTGTCACTTTGTTTTTCCTTTTGATTGATAAGTCTTGCCAATTTTAAAAAGAGCAGAAAATCTGATTCTGTTGTTGTTCGCTAGTAAGGCAGTTTATGTGATGATGGGATAGGGAAGAATGAACACAAATTAATTGCAAAAGTTTGTTTGCATTATGGTTTTTCATTCTTTGTTTGTTGATGTTGTTATCTAGTTGGTAAAACTTGCAATACCAGATAGGCATAAACTAATTGGGAGCTTCCTGTGAAAACTTGGAACCGAACTAACCTTGTAGCTAACAGTCAGCTATGCAAGCCATTATAATTCTGGTCATAAATTGGTGTAGAAATGTCCAAATTGGATGCCACTTATTGCACATGAAACCAGATTCAATGACCATTCAAATGGTATAAGAGTCACACTTTGATTCTTTTTCTATTAATACCGGTAAATCTGCAAATTGGACTAAAAATTTGAACTCTGCACATCTGAGAACCATAGATGTCCTGAATTGCATGCGAATTTAAGATGGATTATAGTTAAAATCATAAAATGATGCACTTTAAGAAAATGCAGTACCCTGAATGTAGTTTAGGAGGGTACAAATTTTATAGTTTTTTGACAAATGCATAGCGAGTAACATCAATTTCACTAGGCACTAACAAGAGCTAAAGTAATCTGTTAGCTAACAATCAGTTATGCATGCCTTTATATTTCTGCTCATAAATTGTTGTAAAAATGTTCAAATTGGATGCCGTTTGTTGCACATGAAACCAGATGCAATGGCCGTTCAAAATAAGATCATGCTTTGATTCTTTTTCTATTAATACCAGTAAATCTGTAAAATGGACTGAAAATTGAACTCTGAACGTCTAAGAAATGTAGATGTCCTGAATTGCATGAGAATTTAAGGTGGATTATAGTTAAAATCACAGAATGATACACTTTAAGAAAAAGCAGTACACTGAGTGCAGTTTCAGATGCTACAAATTTTAAATGTTTTCAACGAATGCATAGTGAGTAACATCAATTTCATTAGGCTTAAGAAAGTGCTAAAGTAATCTGTAAGCTAACAGTCTGCTATGCATTCCTTTATAATTCTGGTCATAAATTGGTGTAGAAATGCTCAAATTGGATGCTGTTTCTTGCACACGAAATCAGATTCAATAACCTTTCAAATGGTGTAAGAATCATGCTGTGATTCTTTTTCTATTAATGCCAGTAAATCTGCAAATTGGACTGAGAATTGAACTCTGTAGATCTGAGAACTGTAGATGTCCTGACTTGCATGCAAATTTAGGGTGGATTTTAGTTAAAATCACAAAATGATGCACTTTAAAAAATAGTAGTACCCTGAGTATAGTTTAGGATGGTACAAATTTTATAGTATTGACAAATGTATAAAGAATAACATCAATTTCACTAGGCACTTGCAAAAGCTAAAGGCACTTGCAAAAGCTAAACTAATCTGCTAACTAACAGTCAGGTTTGCATGCTTTTGTAATTCTGGTCATAAATTGGTGTGAAAATGTATGGATGCCATTTGTAGTGTAAGCTAGATTCAGTGTATAAAGTTATATGATACGACATTTTAAAGTGCCTTTGCAGAAATCAAATTTTTAACATTTTAGAGCTATCCTGACATTAGAGATTCGCAAGAATGGTGCTTTTTGTTGGCAACTGTACTGCCTTAATAAATGAGTTTTCCTGATACCTTTAAATGCCATTGAGCTATCCCCACATTAGAAGGGATGACACTCATCCGAGCTGTGACGAAAGGTAAAGTGTCAGCTTATATCATCTATCCTGACACTTTCAAATGACCTTAAAGGCATTTTTTGTTGCAGTGTGGCTTGGAGTGTCCACCTGACCAGAAGGAAAGGCAAATATAGTGATTGCAAGGCTGAACTTGTGAAGATAGCCAGTCCATATATACATGCAAAATGATGAAACGGTTGCTAAACCCGTGAAAGGATTGATTCTTGGTCCACTTGCAAGCTTTATATTTTGGTTGCTGAACCATGAACAGAAAGGATTGCAGGAGGCCCTTATAGTAGTTTTGCTGCTGTGGCATGTGCAGGACTACTATGAGATGCTGCTTTTAGTGTTGATGGATGAGGTAAGCTACTTGATCCTTTTCTTCTTCTTGTTCTTCTCTTCCCTTGTTAAAAACCATAATGAGGGATTTTGGAAACCATAACGAGATCTAGCTATACCTAATCAACTTTAAGTAGCAGTTATTTTTCTTATCGTAGTCATTTTTTAATGCTAAGCTGTTCTGCATCAAGCTTTGCGCATTTGTCAAAGATAAAAAATTCGTACAAAATGAAAGATCATTTCCAATGGAAACTAAACAAAGGCATTTTGAGCTGAATTGTATAATAAATAGGATGTTGGTTTTCAGCTTTGGTAAATTTTGTATAATTGGACCTTTTTAAGCATGAAATTTGCACAAGCATCTAATCTAAGCTATGCACGATTTGTATATTGACTACATTATGAGGTTTAAATCATATCTAGTAGAATTGTTTGTCATTTGTCTCAAAATGTTCTTCTAATGGAAATTAACTTGAATGTTGGTTTCACTTGCTCTGCTTGATTAATGATTGGGATCTGAACGAATGCCTGCTCCTCTTCATGCTGTTGTTGTTCTCAGCAAACTCTTGGACGTGTGCCACACTGTATTTTGCGTCCATTGATGTTTGTTGACCTAATCACTTTCTAGACAAAATTGGTGTATTGAGATTGGGATATATCTTTCTCTGATTGACCAAAATCCTGAAATCTTGTCAAAATATTTTGTTCTTTCTTCTCTGTTCTAGTGGATTATTGCAATTTTTTGAACGATTGCTTTCATCCTCTCTTTTCTTCCTCAAAATGAGCATTTTGATTCTTGAACATTTGTAATTTATATATACTTAGACAAATTTTCTTGGATGTCAATTGCCTCAAAAGGTCAATGTGAACAAATCTGTTTCTTCATTAGCTACAAAGTAGTGATTTGGGTGTGTAAATATTGATCTTGGCTAACTAATGCCACCTAGTATACTAAAGGATTAAAGATACCTGTTATTTCAGTTGTTTTGCTTGATCAAGTTTTGGATATTAATGTGATCAATTAGTTATGTGCAAGTGTACCTGCAAAGCTGTGTCTCGTGGTCATGGTTTCTGAGTGACTATTACAAAATGATTGGAATAAAAGTTGGGATTTTTCTTAAGCCACTGTTGCAGTCACAATTCATGAAAGATGCGGATTACTACAGATTGCTTGCTTAATCTGGTTACAGTTTGAGAGTGACTCCTGTTGTATATTAACGGTTTTCTTACATTGTTTTCTTTATGTCACATGGACTATGGACATCCTTTTTGACATGATTTTAGAGCAAGTAGTAGCTCCAAAGGATGCAAATATGTTTCCTGCATAACCTGTAAAGTTGCTTTGTAGTCATGTTTCTTGAGTGGCTCTATTTTAAGTTTGCTGTTTAATGATTGGGATAAATGTTGAATTCATGCTTTTGTGGGTAATTGTTCTTGGCGTTATGTGTTTATGTCATGCTTTCTTTTCTGTTTCTTGTTCGCTTGATAACTTTTTGACTTGAGGTATCAATGAGATCTTAAATCTTTCATGTTAAGTGTTCAATGACTATATACATTGACAGCAGGAAATTCAGTTGAATTAATCGATTTGGCCCACTTAAATTAAAAACTCATATGCTACGCCTTACGAGTGAAATTATGCTTGGAGAAAATCTAATTAACTTGTTCTCCAAGAGCTTTTTGTTTAAATAATTATCGTCATGTCTTACATAGGTTTACATACATATTACTTGAACATACATATCATTTTTTATTCAATGTAGTGTGCCTTGTGCATTCCTTGAGTTAGATCATGCAACTTGCCCCAAGATGCTTAACTTCTTCACTGGCTGGAATTTAGTCTAGACTTGACAATAGGTGTTAATTTTAATCTATGAAAAGTTGCTTTTTGGCCTGCTTTGAGAAACTGTGTACAAAATCTGAATTTTCTTGTTTTCTAATTACTCTTGCTCTATTCAACATATCCCACTGAAATTGCCCATCATATTCAGCTAAAACAACTAATGCATGAAGTACTACATAAGAAATGAAGTACTAACTAATCCATTCCTGAACAGCAGTAAGTAAGATTTGTTACGTTGTTTTCTTTGGTTACTTTGTATCGCTGTTCAGCAACCAGGATCTTTCTTTTCCTTTTCTTTATTTTGTGAGTTCACGCATCCGAAAGACTATCAGCAGTAATGCTGGGTTTCTGGTGTACATTGTTTTCTTTTGATATCTGCTTGATGTTGATGAGGAGTGTGATTTAAGTGCTTATGATATAAACTAACACACGTGTCAAACAAAACTAATTGTGAACTCCAGAATTACAAATTCGAGGAATGCCAACCATCTAAATGTAAACTGGAGTGTGCAAGCCAAATTTGTAGTTATGTATCTAAATGTAAATCATTAATAGCACAAAATATCACAAAACTTGGCTCAGAGCACCGTCAAATGGTGTATCTCTAAAATTGATGTGGGATGAGATGGGTGAGATCTAGCCTACTTGTGCGAGCAGAAGAACAAGGGCCTTGAGATTGTTTTGGTGCTGTGAACATTATTCTGGACAGTGATGTGGTAAGAAATGAGGGAAAGAAGTAGAGAAGCTAAGAGAAAGAAGAACAACACAACTAATAAACCAAAACTAAATCTTCATTCATCAAATTCTCTGCAAAGAATGACATAGAAACACAAGTATTCATAAAGTAAGAAGGTACCTAAAACTCCTATTTCCATATTCTAAATAGGAAAAGTAACTAGTTGTAGAACTTTAGAACTTATAGGAACTTTCCCTTTCCCCATAAGAATGCTTGAACAACTTACCTGATATTGTAGATAATGAAAAGAGGCCCAAAATGATGACTGACATTCTGGAAATTTTAAGTGACAAAGGAAAGACCAAAATGTTTAAGGCCTAATAAGAGAAACCACTGAACATGCAGAGAACTTTGACCATTGTTAGACTCTAGGAATCACCGCGGATAGACTCTTTTAGACCAAAATTATTCTTTTTTGTCAAATGATCCTTTAGTTTTATTCTTAGCTTCCAAGGATGAAAATATCCTTTCAACCAGCTTATGGTTGGAAAATTAGTGGAGAAATTGGTAGAGAAAAGGGTAGGGAAGGGAAACCAGTTATTATCACTTTTAGCTGATTAGAACTTGAAGCTTCCAAAATTTTGTTGTTAGCTGTGTCAATTTGCTGCTAAACCAGAAATAAAGCTTCAATCCAACTGAATCTATTGGCCATGCCATCTAATGTAGAGAGAAAAGATTGCAATGCTTCTAATTTTTTTTTCCAATTTCATGCACTTTTATCTTTTAGCAAAGCAACTTCTTTTGGACATACTCTCAAAATCCTTCGAGAAAGTCTCAAAGTTTGAAAAGAGTTCTGCGTTTGTAACCATATTAGTCAAAGAAGAAGAAAATATGGCTGACAAAGAGAAAAAAAGTTTGATTCTTAACTTACATAAGTCCTCCTCTTAAATTTTATTCAAGGAACTTAAAGTGGTCTTTTTGGAGTGCTTGTGGGTCAGTCCCATAGGCTTGTGGCGGTTGCTGGACGGCATACTCAATTTCTAGTATAGTGAACATATCGCAAATACTTTTCTCCATTCACAATCTAGCAATGTCATACTCAATTTGTAGTACAGTAGTGAACATATCGGAAATACTTTGCTCCATTCATAGTCCAGCGATGTCATACTTAATGGCTAGTAAAGTAGTGAACATATCTCCATTCACAGTCTAGCAAAGTCTTTCAAGTCATTACAGAAACACCATATAATGGCCTCATACTAAAATAGACTGCTGGTATAAGGGATTTCAAAGATATGGCCTATAGGCTCATGCTAATATAAACCGCTGGTGTAAAGGATTCCAGACTCTGGAATCCAAGAATCCGCCTGAATAAACTTAGAAACTGTGAAAGCAATGACTTCCTTGGACCGATTTAATGCTTTATATCCCACCCATGAAATTCGTCTCCCTGTATCTGCACCAGCACCCCAATTACCGTATTCTCTGTAGGTTAGCTCATCTGTGCGATGGCCTGGCCACTCATACCACCTAGCTGGATCTATGATGCTTTCCAAGAAAGATTGCATCACAATCACGGTTGACCATGCAAACCATGGTCTTCCAAGAAAAGCATGAACCTGAGATTTGTTGGACTGCAAATCTGGGGCTGCTGTCAAAGTGGAATTTTGAATGACAAATCCACTAATCTCATCGCGTGACCTTTTTCCCTATGCAGTGAAAGTAATAACACGGTTAGGCAACCGTGCAAATAGGTTGCCGCTTTGAAAGACTGCCGCAGCATTGCCAAACACAAAATCAACAGTGCCGTAGATGTCACACTCCTTATAGAATTGCCTGCCAAAGTGTGCACAGAGTGTGTCATGGAACCCTAAAAATGTACATCTGTAAAATGATGATCTGTCAGACTGGGACATTAGGGCAACAGCTTGAGTGGCTTCTCCTGCTGAGTTTTCCAAAGTTATGTACTTGGCCATGAAACGATTACCTTTAACAGCTGCAAACAATGAAATGTAATGGCATTTTAATAAGCTTCATATGCTATGAAATAGATAAAGAAAAAGTTTATGAAAAAGAAAAAGAAAGGAAAAGAGATAGTAAATAAAGCTTGCTGAAAATTTAAATCCTGTATGCAATATTTGTGCCACTGCAGAACCAAAATGAACTTCTAAATCTTCATCTGCCATACATTTCCAGCTGCAAGGACACAAGAAATTGAGCAACGTTCATGGAAACGGTATTATGTTTAATGCAATCGTGTCCAAGATAAGACCTGGAGCATATAGAAGGATAATGGATGTCATTGCATCAGCACCCATTCAGAGTCAATCCAGGTACTTCATTCATGTGGAGGCAGGTATATATGTGGAGATTGTGAAAGTGTGGGTAAATAAGACAAATATAGCTTTGATTGGAGATAGTGAAAATGTAACCAAAATCACAATGAACAGGAGATTCCCAGAATTTCAAACAAACAAAACTGCCACTGTTTGTAAGGACTTCTGACTGCAATTTATAATTAACGTATATGCTTTAGTAGGATCACAACATTTTAGTTTTAATGAAAAGGTGTGTAGTAAAAGGCAGGGTATGAAAAACAGGAGACATCAAGTTCTCCTTTCTTCACTACCTTATAGCACTTTGCCGTATGTTGCAGTTCATTGAAGCTTTCCTTTTAATGCAGCAAAGAAGCCTTCTAGTACATTGCAACAAGTCTATTCCAATTATTTAGTTGATCAGGCTTTGTGTTTACGGAAAATTTCTATTATCTATGTTATTGAATTTGTGTGCAATATGGTACTAAAGTCAGATATGGAACGGCTTTATCTTAGTTTTACATAAAGGCCTAGTTGCTTATATTCATTTGAAGCACAAGATTTCAACAATATCAAACATGCACACTTTGTATCTCTACTATGTCTAGCTCTACAAAGTTACAGTGGCTTTTGAATTTCAATACCTCAATTCTTCAAGCTCATTTGCTTCGTGCAGCAATCTATACTCCTTGGAGTACTACTACAATTTAACACATCATCCTGCATTATTAAGATTATTTAATTCATACATTCTACTCAGTACAATATCTAAATTTAACAACATACTGGATGATTGAATTACTCTCCCATCATAAAAAGTGCTAACATCTTTGCAGAAAGCTTATTTCTTTGGCAATAATACTATTAACTCTATCAGTAGAAAGAATATTCAAAGATTGTATATCCGTACAGAGATTCTCAAATTGACTCTGTTTGGATCCACTAGTTTTTCAAAATCTAATTTTTCAAATACTAAAAATTTTTAAAAAGCTTCAATGAACTGCAACATATGGCAAAGTGCTATAGTGTAGTGAAGAAAGGAAAACTTGATGTCCCCTGTTTTTCATACCTTGTCTTTTACTACAAACCATTCATTAAAACTGAAATGTTGTGATCCTACTAAAGCATATACATTAATTATAAATTGCAGTCAGAAGTCCTTACAAACAGTGGCAGTTTCGTTTGTTTGGAGCTTTGGAAATTCATTGTGATTTTGGTTACATTTTTACCATACTCAGTCAAAACTATATTCGTTTTATGTACCCACACTTCCACAATCTCTACATATATACCTACCTCCACATGAATGAAGTACCTGGATTGACTCTGAATGGGTACTGATGCAATGACATCTATTATCCTTTTATATGCTCCAGGTCTTGTCTTGGACATGGTTGCAATAAACATAATACCCGTTTCCATGAACGTTGCTCAATTTCTTGTGTCCTTGCAGCTGGAGATGTAAACAGATACAACCATAACCAATACAATCACGATGACTGGTGAAGCGCCCTTTAGCCATACCTCCCTACCTGCACGTGGAGATTAGTTGGTCAATGCTAATAGCAGCCTGAGTGTTCTTTTTGTTTGTTAGTTGGTTGCAGGGATAACATATATTGCATGTTTTGAGTATTTAAAAGAAAATTGAGATGCAGAAGTTTACTGATATTGGTGGGGAACGAAATCATGATTGCAAATTGTTACCTTAGTCCTAAAAACAGAAATAAAAGGCTAATCTGTTTTTGTGTTTGTATTTTATTCTATCTTAGTTTTCAGACATAATGTTTCATTATTTCTGGCGGTAACGTACTATAGCCAACTGAAACTTTAATCCTTGCCCAAAAAGGATGATTTGTTTGTTGAATTGCTTTGAGTGTATAATGCAAATGGATAAAAACTATTTCAGGCCAATGGACATCTTTGGGGGTAATGAAGAACTGCGAATGGATAAAACCAGTTCGGGCTAATGGACATCTTTGAGGATAATGACCTGAAACTGCCCGCTACATAAAAATATGCTTGATATTCAGAACATGATTTACTTCCTGTAGCCAACTTAAACTTTAATCCTTACCCAAAAAAGGATGATTTGGTTGTTGAATTGCTTTGAGTGTATAATGCAAATGGTTAAAAACCATTTTAGGCCAATGGACATCTTTGGGGGTAATGAAGAACCATTAAATGTTCATTTTAAAATAGAAACTACTTTTGATCTAAAAAACATAAAATGAAATTCCAAAGAAGCCAATCACTAAGACAATCAGTTAGTCAATGTTAAAGAGTACTATCCGATTAACAGGCATTTAGTCATACAATGTAAAACTACCACAGCTTAGCTAAGTGTGTCCTCTTGCAATAATTTGGACCAACACTGTCCCATCCTTTATTGGCATCAAGCACTTAATACTTTATGTCGTGACATTTTACCTAGAATTTGATAAAGAAAATTGCCTTATTAGATTAATGTATCCTATGTCACAATCTATCATAACTGAAGTAAGTTCTTGGAAAATTATTTTATCTGATTGAATGGAATATCCATTATTGACTCATTCTGTTAGAATCGAAAGCCAATGACTATTCTCCAAAGACCATATGAATATTTTCAGCCTCTTTCATGATACCACCATACTACTAATAGGATCACTCTTATTGGGTTCAATAATTATAGCAAAATGTTAAATTTGATTTTCACCTATGTAACTATTCATTAAATTCAGACAATTATCGTGAATTCTGAAGCCTGAGATTAGCTGGCCTCATGTTAAATATATGAAGTTCACTTTAATTTGTCTGAATTGTCAATGCAGTATGTAAAAGCTCTAGCATCCAAAACATCATCAAGTAGTTGATCATACACATTGGAATTTAGTGTAAATCCCTCTTTTTCTTTTTTCTTTCTTTTTCTCATTTTCAAGTTTTTAAAACAAAAGCTACTCTTTGATCTCAAAAACATAAAATGAAATTCGAAAGAAGCAAATCACTAAGACAATCGTAAAGCCAGTATTCAGGAAGCTCAGCAAATGAAACAGATGTTTGCTATCTATGACAAGGCTTCAAGGCAAGTAATAAACTATGAGAAATCTGCTGTTTTCTTTAGTGCAAACACGTGCAGGAATCTGATAAAGGAAATACGTTCTTAGTTGGGGAATATGAAGGAAGCTACAAGCGGGAAGTACCTGGGACTACCTAAGTACCTATGCTGATAGGGAGATCCAAGCAACAAGTTTTTGGATACATCAAAGCAAAGGTACAAGACAAGCTGCAAGGATGGAAGAGGCATTTGCTGAGCCCACCAAGAAAAGCGGTACTTATAAAATCTGTGGCAATGGCACTTCCTACCTATACCATGTCTTGTTTCAAACTCCCAAAAGTGCTTTGCAAAGATATAGGTAAAATGGTAGCAAAGTTCTGGTGGGGCAATGGAGAAAGCAAAAGGAGGATGCACTGGACTAGCTGGGAAAAGATGTCTCATGTGAAAGGAAGAGGGGGGCTCGGAGTTAGAGATATAGAGAAATTCAATGATGCCCTCTTAGCCAAGCAGCTTTGGAGGATGCTCACACAACCAAACCTACTTGTAAGTAGGGTGATGAGGTCAAAGTATCTAGGAAGAGCACAAGATTGGGATAAAGACCCTCCAAAAGCATCTTCTTGGATATGGAAGAGTCTAATGGGAACCAGGAAGCTGTTGAACAAATGACTATGGAAAAAAGTGGGAGATCGAGAAACCATTGACATCTGGCATGACAAGTGGATTCCAGGTAGTGCAGATGGTAGGATCAAAACTAGAAGGAATTCAGAATGCACAATCAGGACAACAGCAGAGCTGATGAGAGAAAGAGAATGGAACCAGGAGATACTCAAAAGTGGTTCATAGCAGAAGATATCCAGAAAATCATGGCTATCCCTATAAGTATAACAGGCTGCAAAGACAGAAGGTATTGGAGATGCACAAAGTCTGGGCTCTTTACTGTAAAGTCAGCCTATGCTGTAGCAATGGAAGAACATCTACAACAGCAGATGACAAGGAGGGAAGAGAATAAAGAAAGCACTAGATATGCTCAAAAGATATCGAACATCTGGAAAGGAGTGTGATCCCAGCAGATGAAACACAACTCAAACATTTCATCTAGAGATGCCTGCACCATAGGATACCAGTGAATGAGCAAATAAACAAGAGGATAGGAAGAAGAAGTCCAATGTGTGAATGTTGTGGGGAAGTAGTGGAAACAGTCAAACACGTGCTGTTTTTCTGCAAAAATGCTGAAACCACTTCGAAATTAGCACCTCTGCAATGGGACGGGTTGAATGACACGAGAAGCAACTTTGTAAGATGGTGGAAAGGGATATTTAGGAGCTAGGATGAGAGACAAAAGGACAGGATCACGTAACACTGTGTAAATATTTTGTGGCAAATCTGGAAAGCAAGGAACAGGAAAGTTTTTGCTGAAGAAAATGCAGATCCAGGGAAAACAGTGCAAAAGCTCAAGTAGAGTGGAATGAGTATATAGAAGCTCAGAACAGCACAGGGCCAGAGTTCATTGAACAAACAACCAACTCAAGCAGACTGGAAAACTGGAAACCACCAATAGGAGAGATGATAAAGATCAACTCTGATGCTGCCTTCTCAAAGAATATGAACAAAAGTGGAATAGGAGCCATTGCTAGAAATGGAGAAGGACAGCTGATGAAAGCTTGGGCCAGAGCTGAGATAAAAACAAGTGAGCCACCGGTGGAGGAAGTGGCAGCAATTAGAATGGGAATGGTGGTGGCTCGAGAAGCTCAATGGAAGGAACTGGAATTCCAGTCTGATTGAAAGGAGGTGCTGGACCTGATCAACAAGGAAAATGGGAAGGAATCTAGAGTTGATATCATTCTAGAGGGCAACGCCAACATGAGATGCTTGTTTGACAAATGTACTTTCTCTGTTGTCCATATAGTAGGGAACAAGTGTGCATATGCTAGCAAAGTTTGCTGTCAAGTTAGTTAGGAATATTGAATGGGAAGGAAATTGTGATGTAGCTCCATGAGAGTGCACAAAATGATTACAAAGGAAGTAATTGTGATGTATCAAATCTTGTGATATCAAGTTAATGAAAACCAATATGATTTTGACAAAAAAAAAAAAAAAATCACTAAGACAATCAGTTAGTCAAATTGGAAGAGTCACATACAAATGTTAAAAGTATCAACCAATTAACAGGCATTTAACCATACAATATAAAACTACATAATTCAAACACTGGTAAAGAACAAAATAAAATTTGATAGTATCACTCAAGTTATAGGTGGCTAGCTGCCTAGCAGTAGCAACTGCAGTAATCAAACACAAAAATTCTGAATATTGGAAAAAAATGCTGCCCTTCTATAAAGTTTTCTATGCAAAGCCTCAATTTTCAATAACTCAGAATAAGCAACATAATAATGATTACTGGATTTCAACAGATTATAAGTAACTTCAATGGGATGGTATCCTTGGAAAAGGACAAAATTAAAGTGAGCCACACCAGTAATTTCCAAGAGACTCTTCACCTATGGAGTGGGACAAATTTGCAAGAACTCATCATATACGAGTGTAGTGCATTTAGACAGATATCCTTTTGATCACATTGAGTTACTTGGAAGCTTGCTTATGACAAGAAACTCTGGTTTCTTTATCATGATTAGAAGCAATGTGCAGACGTTGAATCTCATTCTCTACATTAAAATCACAACTAAAGGAATTTACTAAGTGAGAATTTGTTAAAGTAAATCCCACAAAAGAGTTCAATCTGCTATCTGCTGCCGCAACACCATTTACCTCCATACAATTTCTTCTTGCTTATTGAGGATTACTACCAACACAGTTACTTGTTATTTGTGGTTCCATAAACGAGTAACTAACATGTTTCTTTTCCATTTTAGAGCTCAATATTCCTATGCATGGTTTAGAGACATTAAAGAGTGAAGATTCATCTCCATAAACTATATAGGCATAGCAATGCATGCTCTTTTGCTTTGAATAAATTGACTTTTAGTACATGCCTCATTAAACATGCCATCAAACATATCAGCCCTTGTAGTTGATTTTCTTTCTATTTTCATTCTCACAAAGAAAGCAGATAACTAAAAAGATGATTATACATTACCAACTACACACAGTGAAGAAAACACAACAATATACTCAGGAAAGTAGCCCTTTATTATATTCCACAATCCAAACTAAGCATTATCTAGCAAAAAGCTATATCACATAGCAGCAAAGCATCATAGCATCGTCCAAAAGAAAACCAGGCAAAACCAACCATAAGATCACTGTCAGAAACCAATAATCGAACCATTAAAAAGCAAGTATTAGATCAGTCTGTAACATACCCGAATGGAGTAATTGTTAACTTCGCTTATAATTCTTGATTATAAATTTTGTACATAATAGCTAAGAACAACAATACAGAACATCAGCATTAAAATACCTATGACTTCAAGACTAAAAAGGAAAAAAACCAAAGGAAAAGTAGAAAAAAGATTCATACCACTCGGTAGAAATTAATAGAAACAATTCCTTGTTGTCTGCTTCTTGGCAACTCGGTAGAGAAAAATAGAAACAATTCCTTGTTGTCTGCATCTTGGCCTCTCTGTGTCTCCTTTTTCTTGTGTATATACGTGAGAAATAAAGAGGGAGAATGAAAGGAAATGGGCTATTTCTCGTCTTTTTTTTTTTCACTAAAATGGTCAATATATTCACTGAATTTCAGCACCAAAATCCTAACAACTCCCGTCTGAAAATTTGGAAAACTTTTGCTTCAATCAGATGGTGATAAAATTCGGAGGGTACAATTAAAATACATCTAAAGGCAGAAAAATAAGTCAAAGACTTTTTAGGGACAAAAGCAAACATCTCATCTAAACAGGATTTTGTGACTGAAGGAAATAGTACAACCCAATGAGTGAGGTGAATCAAAGAATGGAGCACTTTTTTGGGCAAAAATCCCTGATTTTTAGGGTAACAAGGACTGCCTAATCAACAGTAAATTCACTTGTTTGCATCCTTTCCAAGTACAATAAGCAGACAAGAAAGGCAATCATGGAGTGGAAATTCGGATACCTTTATGATAGGAAATTCCTATCATAGGCAGCTCCCAGAGAATGACACGTGTATTTATAAAATGAAGAATTCACGAACCATTATGTTGCAGTGGTAACACGTGTGGAGATAAACCAAACAAGACATGTCCGGATGCAGCTTTTTTTCCCCTCCAATTCTTCCGTTCACTGTGCATTGTTTCCCCACCGCTTTATTACATTTAAAAAATTGTGAAATTATAATTTTCTGCACCTAATATACCAAACAATTTAATAAAATTAATAACAATATAACAATAATATATACCCATGACATAAATATACTAAGCAATTATAAAAATTATTAGGATTATATAGTTACTTTAGAAGTTGCTCCCAAATACCATACAACTAAATTTTTCATTCAAACTACCGATAGTACGAAAAAAAAGACTAATTAATGAAAATACGATCTCGAAAAATTTTTATTTCACAGTCACAATATGTGAATTTGTGATAGATATAAAAAAGTATGGTACTTTGATCATATAATGAAGGAAAGCCATAAAGAGCAGACCATTTATGGGAAAAATTTTCATTAATAAAAATACCAACTCTTCACGGCTTTCTTACCAGTCCACCATGGAAAGCCATAAATTTAAGAGTGTAGCTCTGTGAGGGTTGTCCTGAGGGATAGTAAAATGTCCTGGCTTGACCGAGTGGAGTTCGGGGCAAAGAGGAGGTGAACCTTCCTTTGTACACAAGAGTGATTGTAATTTATCAACTTGAAGTAACTTGGTATCATAAAACACCAACTCTTTATGACTTTCCTCTATTATAAGAACAGAATACCTATTTCCCATAAACAATTTATTTGTCGGATAAAATAAAAATAAATCCGTTTTTCAATAAAATACCAGCTATTTATTGAAAATAGCTATTTATTGAAAAACGGATATATTTTTATTTTATCCGATAAATAAATTTGTTTATGAAAAAATGAGTGTTAAAGAACTGGTATTTGATGAAAAAATGATACTTTATGATACCAATGGATAACAATTAAAACACATTCACAGATTTGATATTTTAAATGAGGGAAAATCGTTCAAAACATCTCTCACATTTTGCAAAATATTTTTTTTGTCCCTCGCTTTTAAAAATGTAAGTTTACGTCCCTTACAAATTCACATTGGTTAAATTTGGTTTCTATTTAAATTTTCGACTAGTTTTTTATCGGAATTCACCACGTACCTTGCACGTAATCATATTTTAAGGGCAAATTTGTCAAATCAAATTTTATATAATTCGATTCATAATCCCTCACATTTCATAAAATAAATTTTTTCGTCTTTCACATTTTTCAAAATGAATTTTTTCATCTATTATTAATCATATGCATGAATAATTTTTTTTAAATCCATGTATATATTTATTTGATTTCACCTAAATAGTACGAATAGCATGTGAAATCAAATAGAGATATATTACACACTATTCGTATTGCTCAAGTGAAATCAAATAGATATATACATTGGTTTAAAAAAATTGTTAGTTTTTCACTTGTATTCATTTTCTTTTATTCGAAATTTAAAAATAAAGAAGACATTTAATTCTAAATATTATCGAGTTTTTATATCGAATTAAATTTGGATAGAAAAAGTAAATAAAAGAAAAGTATGACAAAAAGAAATAAGTGATTGGCACTTTCAAATTTTAACACAATCACAAGGTAAGTAATTCAACTATTGGTCTTGAAAGTGTCGAATAGAAATTTCACATTTAAACTAAAATTTGTTAGCACAATTATAGAATTCGAGTTAGGATCTATTAATTAGATAACCTTATTATACAACTCAATAAATAAATTATTATCAAAAGAGAAATGTCACAAATATTGAATAGGTTCAAATGGTGAAATCATGTAAATATATATATGAGTTTCAAACAAAATTATTAGTTTAAAACCCCTATATATATCTATTGAATAACATGTGTATAACTATGTTGATCTTGATCCCTATCTTTTGATGTTTATAAAACAAATGGATAATATTAATATTTTTTCAAGATATGCTTTCAGTTTTGAAATTATTTGATTCCATGAACAAGTGCAATTGAAAGGGGACAAAGTATGCTGAAGCTGTCGGACGCTCAAGAAGTCAGGATCGGACGTCCGATAATTATTGCGTCACTTCGGACGCAGAAAACCAGCCTACCGGACGTCCGAAAGAATTGAAGAAAATTTTCCAGTTTTACATCATACCTTCGGACGCAGAAAACCAACCTACCGAACGTCCGAAAGAATTGAAGAAAATTTCTCAAACTCACTGCCTGCTGTCGGACGCATAAAACAGGGCTATCGGACGTCCGACACTACCAACGGCTAGTTGACTATTCAGCTATTTTCTATCCGTTGGAAGCATTAATGAGGCACTTTATTGGTCCTATATAAATAGTGGTTGGTCAGACACTTCAAACAATTTTGGCACACTGAAGATACAAAAGATCTAGAGAGATTTTAGTGAGAAAATACCCTTCAAAGAATATTTGTAGTCTTAGTGGTGTGAGGTTCTTTGTAAGCTTTTCATTTGTGAGTGAATACTTCATGAGTGTAGCTCTGTGAGGGTTGTCCTGAGGGATAGTAAAAATTCCTGGCTTGACCGAATGGAGTTCGGGGCAAAGAGGAGGTGAACCTTCCTTTGTACACAAGAGTGATTGTAATTTATCAACTTGAAGTAGCTTGTTTCAATTAATCTACAAGCTCAAGAGGAGTTGGGTAGTTAATTGGTTTGCAATCCTTTCCTTTTTATTTATTTACTATTACATTTGTAATCTTTGCATTGTTTATGTATTTCACTTGGTTGTTTTCGATTCTTACAATTGGTATCAGAGCTTGGTCTCCTAGAGATTAAGCTCAATCGGCTTGGGAGTAAAAATGACAACCAATAATGCTATGATTTTTTAAGGACATTCTGTGATTAGACCACCTATGTTTAATGGGTCAAATTATGTGAGTTGGAAAGAAAGAATGATTATCTTTTTGCAATCTATTGATATTGAATTGTGGTTTATTATTAGTGAAGGTCCATATGATGTCTCTCTTATAGATGAAAATACTCATAGATCTAGACCAAAAATAAGAAGTGAACTGACTGTTATAGATAGAACTCATCTCACCTTAAATGCAAAAGCCACGAATGTGTTATTTTGTGCTTTAGACTCAAATGAATCTATTAGAGTCAAGGGTTGCAAGTCAGCTAAAGAAATTTGGGACAAATTGAAAGAAATTCATGAATGTAGTGAGAATGTGAGAGAACAAAAGAAGTCTATTCTGGTTACCAAGTATGAATCGTTCAAGATGCAATCTCATGAAAACATTGATGAGATGTACTGTAGATTCAACGACCTCATTAAAGATTTAGAGGTGTTGGAAAAAAAATATTCTCTAGGTGAGAAAAATAGAAAAATCCTGAATGCCTTATCCAATGATTGGGAAAATAAAGTGATTGCTATTGAGGAGGCTAAAGATTTGAATACTATGCCTATTGAATCTCTTATTAATTCTCTAACATCTTATGAGCTGAAACTTAAGTCCAAAATGCAAGAGGATGAGGATGCCAAAGTAAGAAGGAGCATTGCTCTAAAGGCATCTCAAGATGAAGATGATTCTGCCTCCCCAAATGAAGAAGATGCAGAAGGTGATGACAATGATATCGCACTCATCACAAGAAACTTCAAACGAATACTCAACAAAAGGAGATTCAGAAAAGGTGAACCTAACAATTCATTCCCAAATCAGTTCAACAACTCGAGAAACAAAGGGAAGCTAGAGTTCAACAAAAAGCAAATTGATCAGTGCTTTGAATGCGGCCAACCTGGACATTACGCAAGCGAGTGTCCAATGATGAAGAAGAATAAAGGAAGAAATCAAGATTCAACAAATTTCAATTCACATGAAATGAGTGCAACTTCGATGGTGAAATTGAAGGGGAAGAAGAATCTGCTCAATTGGCTTTCATGGCCATTGGAGATGATGAGGTAACATCTTCTAACTCTCAATTTGAAAGTGATGATGAAAGTGATGATGATCTTGAATATTTCATTATAAAATTGGATGATAGTTTGAAAGAATCCTATGCTAGAAACAAGGAGTTAAAACAGAAAATTAGTTTTTTGTTTCGAGAAAATGCAAATCTTTTTCAACAAAACAAAAAGTTGAAGCTGAAAATGATTACTTCAAAAAGAGTGAGACTGCTTTACATTTTAAACTTGATAGAAAAACAAAACTTTGTGAATTGTTCAAAAAGGAACAAGGTGATTTGAAAAGAAAAATGAATGGTCTAAATGAGTTGCTTAAACACAAAAAATAAGTCTGTTTTCAAAAGAATATGTTGAATTCTAATTCCAACGAATTTGCTATCCATAGAAAAATGCAAGTCAGATTTATTAAACCCATTCATGTGAATAACGTTTTGATTATGTGTAATTTCTGTTGTCAAAAAGGTCACATGAAAAGTGATTGCTATGTGAGAAAGAATATAAAAAAAAGGCATGAAATGCATGTGGATAGTTAGACATGATATTAACTCTAACAAGTAGGAGATTTTGTTAATCATTGCAGTGATTCTTGTTCAAAATATTTTTTTTTGATATTTCTGATATTTTGATCTGAGTTTTTGAATTTTACTGAATCTGTATGATATCAAAAGGGAAAGAAAAGAACAATTTTGATCTAAAGATGGTTTGCTTTGTCAAAACTCTCTGTCATATGTTGATACTTTTTTGATATCAAATTCTCTGTGATATGTTGGTGATTGCTGTCATTTTTCTAATTTTATACTCTGTTATTATTGTTGGATTATGATATTTGATTTTTTACTCTCATCTTATGATGACAAAAAGGGGGAGAGATGGATGCTATGTGTAAGAGGGAGTTTTTCTGAAATTATAAGTTTTAGATGCGATGATTGAGGGGGAGTTTATACTTATTTTTGTTTCTTTCCATCAATTGTTTTGTCATCATCAAAAAGGGGGAGAA